CATGATCACAGAGGCCTGTGACAGCCAGAATGATTTTAAACTCGAGAGAAGTTGGAGTAATGAGCGAAATAAACTGGACTTTCATGTCTTGGGTGCTGAGCTGGCTCTTTGAAAAGGGCTCTTATATTTTTTAGGAGATCAACAAAGAGGGTTTTTTTAAGATGATTCAGCAAAGAGAAAACAAAACAGAAGCACCAAATCATTTTTACCCCAATAATGTAAATTCTCATGCAGGAAAACAAAGCCCAAACCAAACAGGATGGGTTATTATTTATTATTTTTTTCTTACAAGGATCTTGCAAGAGATATGAGGGTCTTAAGGGCCTTGGGAACCCTAAGCAAAGTGCCTTAAACCAAGGTGAGGAACTTCCACAGGCAACACTGAGCCAATATTTTCCCATCTCAGGGGAAAATAAACTAGGTCAAGAGGAGTAGTATCTAAGTGGTCTTTGGATCTCTAGAATGTGTTGTAGTAAACTTCTTATTAACTCCAGATGACATGGACAGAAAAAGGAACTCTTGCATATATAATTCAAGCACATCTGGGGAGGTAAAGTTGAGAAGATGTGGAAAGAATTAATACCCATATTAAAAAGTTATCTAATCCCGGCAACAAAACTGAGATAACACCACTACTAGATAGCAACAACAAATGTAGCCCTTCGCTATATTTATATGTACTTTGATACATTATAGCTCTACGAATTGTCTGCATTTGTGTAGGCCATATGTATGGACTGTATGTATCCTACTTATATAGTCCATCCATAGGATCAAAGTAAGAACTTTGAGCAAAGGCTATTTTCTGTGGGCCTCAGACTCAAAGGGATACTCCAAATTAGACACTATTTTTAAATTATAAAAATCTGTGTATCGTATCTCACTCAATTATAACTCTTATTATATTTCCACTTGCCATTATTATGGCTTAAAATTGGATGCCAGGCTACCATACTCTTTGTGTGGTTTTGACATACAGTTTTGCCTAAACCCAACCATTTATATCTTATTTGATGTGCCATGGACATACGAACAGTGATTAAGCATGACTTGTTGTGAGGTGTCAACGTGTTTGGTGTACTTTACAAGAATACTGGCTTCCTGGTGTAAAGCACATAGGTAAATGTGTATATCATATCACCTGACCACCATTCATCATAGCAATAATTAAGAAGTCAGAGAGTTTCCTAACAGAAAAGACCAAATCTTGTTTATTTAACTTTCAACATCCTCCTTCAGTACCTTTCTGCATTTGTTTAAATTAAACCTCACGTGCCATTTCATTTTAATAAATACTTTTCTACAGGTTTTCCTTCAGTGTGCCTTGTATAAAAATGTTCTGTAACAAACACCATTTGAAAGCCATCCCTCCTAATGTTTACTTTTGTTTTAAACATGTGAAGTGCATTGCAAAACCCAAAGAAAAAGCTATCTATACCAGTGGTGGGTTTCAAATTTTTTTACTACTGGTTCTATGGGTGTGGCTTGGTGGGCATGGCAGGGAAACGATACTGCAAAATCTCCATTTCCTCCCGATCAGCTGGGACTTGGGAGGCAGAGAATAAAGGGGGTGGGGCCAGTCAGAATTTTTACTACCGGTTCTCCAAACTACTCAAAATTTCTGCTACTGGTTCTCCAGAACTGGTCAGAACCTGCTGAAACCCACCTCTGATCTATTCATATAATTTTGACAAGTGTAAATTAGACTGACTTATGTTAAAAAGCAAAGTCAAGTCTTCGTAAACACAGGGGGTAAATAGACACCTTTGCTCTGTTTATCAGAGGAGGAGGCTACCACTTGGGTACAGCACCACGTGCCACTGTTTGCACCATCATCTAAAGAAGATCTACAGGATGGAGCAGTAAAGCACTATCATTCGAACAGTGACACCCTTTCCAATGAGTCAGACAAGGTGAAGACGACCAAAGCTGGGTGTGCACAACCATATCATTAACTAAACAGGTTGTGCTTGGACGTTTCCTTGAATAGTAGGGATGTAGAAATAGTATGGATGTAGGAAGCGTGTTGGCCCACATACATTTATTTACGAAGTTCCACCCATATGCATGAAGCAAATTTAGGATCTTTTGACCTAAACTCTGAAAGAATGTAGGAGTGATGGTAATTTGAAAACCTCTTACAAAGAAACGTCTTCATAAATACATATACTTATGTTTCTTTCATCGTTAATAGGCAATGTTACTAGATATAATCACTTGTCTGTTTTCTGAAACTACAGATAGTCCTTGGTTAATGACTGCCCTGTTTAGTGATTGTTCGAAGTTACAATGGAACTGGAAAAGTAGCTTTACAACCAGTGTTCTTACTGAGGACCATTGCAGCATCCCTAGGGTCATGTGATTACCATTGGGCACTGATGCATTATGATGGTGGCAGTGTCTCAGAGTCTTATGATCACAATTTGTGCTCTTCATAGCTTCCAACAAGCAAAGACATTGAGGAAGCCAGCAGGAAGCTAAAAGTCATGGTCATGTGATGTTTTTCTTAACCACAAGTGATGGAGCTGCTGTCATACTGGTAAGTCCAGCATAGTCATGTGACATTTCACTATATGACTGCATTGTTAATGATGAAGTTGCCAGTCCCAATTGTATATTGAGGACTACATGTATTGATTCCCCCCCCCCCCAAAGTGTTCCTAAGATAAATAACAGGGTGGGTAGTCTGTTTGTTTTGCTGGCAATTCATTTACTTAACATGGCATAACGAATTGATGAAAACCAATTTAGTCTGCAGACCTATGCATATGTATCAGAGAGTAAGCATCATTACGCATTGCAGAATTTACCCAGAGTCAAAGTCATTCCTCCACATTTTTGGTGGAAGGACTCGCAGGCAAGGCAGCTGCCCTGTTTCCTAAACATTATGAAGAGATACAGATGATGTAGCATTGTTTTTAACCGTTCTCCATCTCTCTTCCCTCCCAACACACCTTTCAATATTTGCTTTTTCTGGGCCAGTGTTTCCTAACCTTAGCAACTTTAAGATATTTATTTATTTATTTTTATTAAACTTCTATGTTGTTCAACTCACCAAGGCGATTCTCAGTGAGATTTCAATTCCCAACTAAGCCCACATGGACCAACTTGGGAAGTTGGCTACTAACCTTAGTAGCCAACTTGGTAGCAATGGCTACTAACCTTAATGGCAGTGTCATCTCCTGAGAGACTAGTGGGCTTCCTACTGTTGGCTGGCCACTGTGAGAAAAGACTGATGGATTTTGAAGGGCCAGGGCTCCAATGCAGCAGGGAACTGCTTAAGATCTTACATGGGTACAGTATCTTTTGATCAATAGCACATCTTACTCTAAAAAGGAACCTCTGGATACACTGACCAAAGCTTTTTCTTGCTGGGTAGGAATTCTGGGAGTTGGAATTCTAAAAAATATGAAGGCACTTAGTTGGGAAGTCCACACCAAACATCTTCTAGAAGGGTTGGTGGATGAAAGCTTGTGAAGCACTCGTGAAGCTTCTCTTAGTTTTTCACTTACAGGTAGTCCTCAACTTACAACAGTTCATTTTGTGACAGTTACAGCATTGAAACATTTTTTTTTTAAATTTGATTTATATGCCGCCCTTCTCCGAAGACTCAGGGCGGCTTACAATGTGCTCAGCAATAGCCTTCATCAATTGACTTATGAAGTGAGTTATGACTGTTTTTCACACTGACGGCCATTGCAGCATCCCCATGGTCACGTGATCAAAGTTCAGACACTTGGCAAATGACTCATACTTATGACATTTGCAGTGTCCTGGGGTCACGTGATCCCCTTTTATGACTTTCTGACAAGCAAAGTCAATGGGGAAGCCAGGTTCACTTAACAACCATATTTATTTTTATTCAATTATTTATTTAATTGCAATTGCAGTGATTCACTTAACCACTGTGTCAAGAAAGGTTGTAAAATGGGGCAAGCCACGTAAGAAATGTCTCATTTAGCAACAGAAATTTTGGGCTCAATTGTGGTCATAAGTCAAGGACTACCAGTATGAAACCTTCACTCACCTTACGTCACTTATTTTGTAGTTTTAATTCAGAATCTTTATGGACATCTGTGCTTAAAAACCAATAACTATGAGCAATCCCATATGAGAAAAAAAAAAGAGTGGGGAGAATTTAGTAGGTATCTGGATGTTATCAATCTGGGGTGGAAAGAATGCAGATGACCTCTGGGGGGCGGTGAAGAGCTACAGAAAAGTCTCTTTGCTGTCATCTTGTGGTCGTCCACATTTGGCACCTCAGATCTGAGGTGCCAAATACTTTACTTTATAATACAATACTTTATTTTATAAAGTATTGAACGGATATGCCTTACTGGTTACATCATCCCCCAACAGGGTTTGCGCAACACAGAACGAAAGTAGCATTTGGCCGGCTACGGCTGATGTGTTGTACAAACCCGGCTTTTGAAATTCATTCCGTAAATCGCTATTAATCTAAGCGGCGCAAACATAGCAGCTCGAAAGGCTTTGCTTTGAAAAACGTGGGGCCGTGAGTTGCCGCGTTTAATTTAATTGGAATTATTTTGCCAAGCGGAGCTCGGCTGGATAGCGCTGCCCTTCTCCACGGAGACTTGTACGATACTTGCCGGGCTGCTTCTATGATTTCTGCCCCTTCCTGCCACGCCTGGGGAGGGGATGCCTTTAGGACGACCCCTCCCTCCGTTTAATATTTGTGCTCTGTTAATTATAATAAGGAATTGAGAAATGAAAAAAGAGGTGGCGAGAATAAACGCGAGAAAACCTGATGAGGAAAACCGGGTGAGCCACTAGAAGAAAAATCTGCCCGAGAAAAGAAAGAGAAACAAACAAACAAACTTATCAAAAGGGAACATTAAAAAAAAAAAAATCCCCCGTCAGCCTCAAGTCGAACGAAACAACTCCCCAAGTCTGTACCCATACCCGGGCGCATGCGTACGGGTCTGATTACGTCACTCTCACTTCGGCTTCGACTCCCCCGTCACTTCGTCATTCTGTGTTGCAAGCCGGTGCTGATTTCCTTGTTTGCTGCGCTCGCCCGTGCTGGTTTTTTTTTTTCTTTTTTCTTTCTCTCTCCCTCCTCCCGGCACGGCGAGCCTAGTGACTGAGCCCACCCCCTCGGCTTACGTCGGTGCTGTGGCGTCGGTTCGGCAGCCCCCACCTTCTCTCCCCCCCCCCACTCCCGGCCGCCTCCACGAGAGAGCGAGCCACAGTCCGGGCCTGGGCAACTGGGTGGCCGGACGTGTCTCCGATTCTCCGATCGGGAGCTGCCTAGGAAGTCTCGCTGGAGGAGGTGAGTCCTGGGAAATGGAGACCTTAGTGGGCTGGAGGCGACCCAGTTCCGGGTCTCGTACCTGGACCTGCTCCAGGTGGGTCCCGCGGCGTGATTTCCACCCGGCACCCCAGACACCCTGTCATTCTTTCCATGCCCCCTTCCTTGCTTTCCGGCTCCGTCTCTCTTCCACACCCACACACCCCGCGCCCCTTGTTCCCCCAAACCCTTTCCCGCTCCGCTCCAACATACGGTCTCCTGGGAAGCGCCCCCTCTCTGGTCCGACTGCGGTGTCCCCCAAAGCCCACCCGGGTTTTGAAGCTCTTTCCCACTCCAACGAGTTGCGCTCTTTCTCCTGACCCAGTTCTCTTTTCTCCCCCACCCCACCCCGTGGGTTTCCTATCTTTTCTCCCCACCCCTTTATTCTAGGCTGACTTCCCCCATCGCATCCATCTCCCTTTGTCTTCCAGCCACACTGTCCTCCCCAGCACCAGACGGGCTTCTTTCTCAGCCACACAAGAGATCAGAATTCCTCTCTGCTTTTCCTCTCTTCCTCCCTGCCTCCTTCCCACTCTTCAGCTGACTTGCAGTTCCTTCCACTGCTGCTCTTGTGTTTCTCTCAACTCTTGTTTCTCTGGTAGTTTTATGACTCTTTCTCTCTATGACCTCTCCCCTTCCAAGCCATCCCTCCTTTTCCGGCCTTGGCTATATCTCTTCTCCCTTGACTTTTCATAACTTTCCTTTCTTTCTTTCTTTATTCCCCCCGACCACCACCACCACCAAAACCACTCCACAACTTCTAATCTCCTAAAAGGCATTTCTTTTTTGGCTCAATTCCCTAGAAGTGGTTTTGACATCAGTACAGCTTGTCCCTTGTCCTACATCACAGGAGATTGGCCTGCTGGCTGGGGCTGCTCAAAGTTGTACTGTCATTCGGCTGTCTCGGAAAGCCACAGGTTCTTCAACCTCTTTACTAAAAAAAAAAAATTGGCAAGGAATAAGAGACCTTTGCACGCTAACTGGATAAGTTTTTATACTTGAATGGCCCTTAGGAAAGTTCTTCAGTCCCAACGTTACTATTCTGTTTCTTTTTTTTTTCACTCTTGATTCATTCACATACAGACTTACATTTCTTATTTTACCCCATGTCTCCTCATCTTTACTCTCGTTGTTTTTAATGCCTGGATATATGTTATATGGGGAAAATAATATGGACTGGTCGCACAAGGGTGTTGTAAAGATTTTAGCTGATCTGTACATGGAAAGCAATTGGAGCAGTCAAAAGCATTGAGGGTGTCATCTTACGCTTCTCTTCCTGCCTCCTGATTTTCAAGTTGTTTGGTTGCTGCCCGGTCTTACTGCCTCCATCTTTTATCCCCTACATCTGGTGGCTTTTCTACAATCCTATTTTGTAGGATTATGTAAATATTCAATTTACCGATTTGATTTGAAATATACTTGAATGAATTGTTGAATTAAATTGAGTTTTCTACTTGAACTAGAAAATTTTACTTAATGCCTCTGAATTCATTTGGACATTTCTACCTATGCAGAAACAGCTGTTGATTTGGAAATCTGAATTGAAACACTTTGAGTTAATACTTCCACTTAAGTGCTTAAATCGAATTGACTTGATGATTCAAATCGGAATTTAACTGATATTTATAGTTTTGCCTAGCAATTTACTGGAAAGCTTTGCAAGCAATTTAGTTTGCCTAAGAGAATAATTTTTATAGAGGGAACTATATTAAAATGTAACAGTGAAACCAATGAAAAATCCTTAATGGCTAAATACATTTAAGTGGTGTGGAATTCACAAGATCAAATGTGTGAAATGACAATTGGCAGGTAAGAGTGGTGTAGAAATGAGCAAGTGAAAAAAATGGTTAAGCATGAAATAAAGTGGTTGTGAAATACAAAACATAAAGTATATAACAGTCTTTAATTTATATTCTGTACATAATGCATGCAAATAATGTAGAATAAATATTGTTCGTCTGATGAAATGGACTACAATCTATGAAATATATGCTGTAATAAATCTGTTTATCTTAACTTGTCACAAGATTCTCTTGGTTTATATATAACTTACAACCACAATGGAGACTGGAATTTCAGTCTGTAAGTGATTAAGTGAGTCATCACATGACTGATTTCATTATAATTTTTACCACAGTTGTTGAGCTAACCGTGCGGTTGTTAAGTGTATCACACAGTTTTAAGCGAATCCAGTTTACCTAAGGAAGGAAGAACCCTGGTGGTGCAATGGTTAGAATGCAGTATTGCAGGCTAATTCTGCCCACAGCCTGGAGTTCGATCCTGACGGGCTCAAGATTGACTCAGCCTGCCATCCTTTCAAAGTTAATGAGGACCCAGATTCTTAGGGGCAATATGCTGACATTGTAAACCACTCAGAGAGTGAGGTGATGCATTTGGAAATCCCATTGAAAAGCAACTGTAAGGCAGAAAAACCTTTGAGCTGTTTTCATATCAATCTGCATTGGCAGGGCTGCATCAAATTTTTGAAGATATTTATTTTGTTGTACAAAGTATGGCTGTTATTAACTATAGTTTATTTGAAACATATTTTACAAATTATTTTAGTTGTTTTTTTTTTTTTACAGAAGTGTGAATCTTTCTCCTCTAAAATACCATTCTACTTCCCCTGTACTTCTCTCCTTTTTTGCCACAAAGACCAGAAACTTGTATTATTTTATTTTTTTTAATTTCAGTTTTTGGGGCTTTATTTCAGTTTTTGGGATTAAAATACCAAGCCTGAATAGCTTGAAAGCTGTCTGGAGTTGATGTACATATTTCATGAACAAACAGCAGTTAGAATTGTTTGAGTTCTTGAAGCATGTTGATACTTTTCAATATTGTGTCCTTATATCCTGGTAGGAAAATCAAGTGGAATGACTAAACTTCGACACAGTAACAAGCATATAGGATACATTAAGAAGTATAGTACAGTCTCAGCTCAAAGGGTGTCCTGAGCATTATATAGAAAAAAGAAAAAGCAGATAGGAAAAGAGCTCTACAGAATTGAGGGCTAGCAGTGGGAAGGATTACAATCGGTGTGTTGCTTCCGGTTCTATCCGGTTCTATAGAACCAGTAGTAAAAGTGGCGGGAGGCTCCGCCCGCCCACCCGGACGTCATAATTGACGATCTGTGCATGTGCTCACGCGCCCATTGCAAATTGGTAGTAAAGGCAAGTAGAACCCACCCCTGATTACAATGTGCACTTTTCAGGAAAGACACCTGTAGCAGACCTGTAGGAACAGAAAGGATTGCCTGAGAAAAGGCTGAACCTTCAAATAATTTGGACTTAAGTTATTTGGAACTTTGATAGTTATGTTAACTTGATAACAAGTATGTGTCATAGATTAATAGAGTTACCTCATTCTGGGAGAGGGTGCTTGGTGATTATTTATTTTTCAAATTTATATGGCCAACCATTCACGGAGGGTGACTCTGGTTTGTGTACAACAATCCAATAAAATAATAAATACAAATTGTTACCTATAACCATTAAAAAAATTAAAAATATAAAAGCAAGACCAAAGAAAAAATGGATGGAGGGATGTTAATAATGGAGCCATCTCATGAGTTTATCTGCCCCTTGCCTGCGGGCATAACTGGGCCTTGAGGGATCTTCAAAAACTCAGGAGTGATGAAACCAGACTCCTCTGTGGTGCAGAGATTTCACAATACAGGGTCCACAGCAGAAAAGGCCCGTCTCCCAGGACTGTTCAAATGTAGCTGGCAATACAGTTGAACCTGTAACATACCCATTCTGTTGGATCTTGTGGGACAGGCAGATGAAATCAGGAAGAAGTAGTCTCTCAATTAACCTGATCCCATGCCATGTATTGCTTTAAAAGTCAACAACCTTAAATAGGACCAGGAAACAAACTGGTAAAGTGCAGCTTGCATAGGAAAGGGGCAGTGGTGAGATTCAGCCAGTTTGGGCCAGTACGGGTGAACCGGTAGTTAAATTGCTGGCTGGCCCCTCCCCGCCCTTCCAAGAGTCCCCATGCACCCCATTTTGGCTCCCAGGTAAGTGCAGGGAGGCCTACTAAATTGGGCACGAGGGGGTATGACATGCCCCCCCCGCGGTCTATTTTCTCTCACAGGAGGCTTCAGGAGGCCAAGTGCTGCTTGTCACATCCCCTGGCCATGCCCACTCAGCCAGTCATTAGAGCAGAGAACCAGTTGTTAAATTATTTGAATCCCACCACTGGAAAGGAGTAACTTATACAGAAACTCATGTAATGTTCACACTGCTGCATTTTACATCAGCTGACCTTTCCGAATAGTCTTCAGAGGCAGCCCCAGAGCATACTGCAGTGGTTGAACTGGAAAGACTTATCATGTCACCTGGGATCCATTTTATAGTGAACCATGTAAATTGTGTCACTTACAATTCTATGTCTTGATCAAAACAGAGGACACAATCTAATCTGTAAAGTCATTCCACTGAGTTCTAGCATGGCAACTGTGTTGGGTATATTAAAGTAAACACTAGTATTTTATCTCATTTTGTTTAACTTAGATACATAAAAATAACAGAATTGGTTTTCTTTCGGTTAGTACTGACTGTTAGATTGGAATAATAATTCATGCCTCAATACCTTTTTTTTCTGTTGTTTTAAAATTCAACTGGTAGAACTTTTTTTTAAAGTTGTGATCAGTATTAAGGATTTTACTAATGTGGTTGCTTGTTTGTTTTCAGAGTAACCTTGCATACTGAAGTATTAGGGTTCACATTCCAGCCAATATGACTGACTTCCTATGACAGTGATGGCTAACCTTTTTGCTGTCGCGTGTGGGGGGATCGCGCATGCATGTGCCCATACCCATAATTCAATGCGCCCCACCCCCCCTCGCCCCCCGCACATGCGCGTTTGACCCCCCTGCGCTACCCCCACTTTTGGCATGCAATGGCCCGGTGGGCCCGGTAGGCCTGTTTTCTGCCCTCCCCAGGCTCCAGAGGCTTTCTTGGAGCCTGGGGAGGACGAAAACGGCCTTCTGTCCCCCACTTGGGAGGCCCTCCGGAGGCTGGAAACAGCCCATTTCCCGACTTCAGGTGGGCCCGGAAAGCCCAAAAATTAGCTGGCCAGCGCGCATATGTGTGCTGGAGCTGAGTAGGACAATGCTCACGTGCCCACAGATATGGCTCCACGTGCCAACTGTGGCACCCGTGCCATAGGTTCGCCATCACGGTCCTATGACTTCAGGCCACAAACACAGTGCATACTCTTACATGTAGATTTCTCTAGTATTTTTAAAATATATATTAAGATCACACTTGAAATACCATATATCGTTTTCTCCATAAAAATGTTGATCTGGAAAATATAGAAATATAGAAAGAAGAGCAATCAGGATGATTATTCTCCCACTTTCACAAGAGAGAATATACAGTTGTGTCTTTTTAACTTAAGGGCAATGCTTCTCAACCATAACAACTTTAAGATGTGAGGACTTCAGCTCCCAGCATTCTCCAGCTAGCATGCTGAATTCTGGGAGTTGAAATCCACGTATCTTAAAAGTTGCCAAGATTGAAAAACACAGACTTAGAGCAAGGGTCCCCAAACTTGACAGCTTTAAGACTTGTGGACTTCAATACAAGTATAGCTGGCTGGAGAATTCTGGGAGTTGAAGTCCACAAGTCTTAAAGGCTGCCAAGTTTGAAGACCTCTGACTTAGAGTGATAGGTAAAGGCATTTTATTGATTCAGTTGCACTACGGAATGAGCTGCCATCTGATGTGATGATCACTAATTTAGCTTGTTTTAAAAGGGGATTGGCTTCTAGTTTTGATGGTTGTGTGTTATTTCCTCAATCATAGGTAGCATACCTGACAGACAAGGTATGTTTTCCCCTACAGCAGTTAAAGCAACTGGAAATAATTTTGAGTTGGGAAAAATAATTGGTGTGGATAAAATAAAACTTGGATCTGCCCTTTTAATCCTCCTAATTGTAACGCTCTCACTTTAAAATAAAATGTCAGCAGTATAACTCGTGGGTGTCCCAACTTTTTGGCTTGCATTGAGTGAAGGGGAATTGTCTTGGGCCGCATATGAAATATATAATATAGTTAGTGTATGTAAATCACATAATAATGTTTAAAGTTTACAATCTTCTGGGGCTATATTACTAGCTGTCCAGTGCTGCATGCAACCCACTGGTCGCATATTGGACAAGCTTGGTGTAGATTTATATGCTAATTTATTTTTGTTTGTTTACTAATTTATTGTATTTAGATCCTACATCAGTTCTTTTCCTACTTTTATCCCCATGACAAGAATGATGAGAAATAGATTGGCGCAGTCATCCAGCAATCATCAGCATCAGGAATCACAAACAGTCCCTAGAATTTTCATTCTATCTTAAATCTGGGGTTAATTTTTTACGTTTAAAAGTGCTGTAATTAAGTTTTGTAAAGGCTTGCATTTATAACATAAGTTAGTCAAGATTGCGTTGGATTCAGGGACCACTGTTTTGCATGTAGTTAGCTTCAGTGGGCTTTGGGAATTGGAAATGTTTGAGTGGGATGCCAAAGCCAGATGGAAGGAACACATGTGTTGGGATCTTGCGTCACTTTCACTTGGAAGATTCACATTTCTGGGAAATGACTGGTCTGGGATTATCATGTTCTTTAAACACTCCAGGTTTTAGGAAAGGAAAATATTTTTATTTTAAGAATTGAATGCCTTAAGTTCTTCCTGATCTTGTCCCCTTTTCCTCTAAAAGTCTTCTTTCACCCACTCCCCAATTTCTAATTATAGATCTTGGGAATAAATATGGGTAACCCTGTATTTTTGTAGATTTGATTCTTTTCCATCTGCGATTTTAATTTCAGATTGATTTACTCAGTGTTCTTTCCATGCCATCATTTGTGTTTTGTTAGTCCCTAATTAGGATCATGATGTCCTAAGAAAGTTGAATTCTTCATGGGTGTAGAGGAGCCAAAGGTTTCCTCATGTATTGGAACTTCTTAGACTGAAATATAAATATAAATTCAATTTACTTCCAATATCAGAGAGAGATGAACAAACAGCAAAAGAAATTATAAGGCAGTGAGGCACTGAAGGGCAAAATAAATTGTATTTTAACAAAGCTTTTATTGCATTAAAATATCTTTATTTCATTTGATCTCTGTTGTTTAGTTTAACTGTTAAGTAATTTGGCTGGAAAATGTTATTTTGATACTGTAACTTCGATATTGTAGTATTTTAAAATAATATTTCTCTTTTATAAACAAGAGGGATGATGCTTCTGGCCAATATCTTAGTTTGCAGCAAATAAACACAATATTGAACCTTGATGCATCAAATATGGTATCTACATGTTCTTAAAATTCATACATTTAAAACACGTTGAATGGAGGTAGATGCATGTTTTCGTAAAATGTTCATGTTGAATAAATCTTTTTCTGCATTTTTGGCTATTTTTTTTCTTGCAGCTTTATATTGGACATCTGTCTCTTGATTCTGGTTTTACGATCAAAAATTGCTTCTGACCTCTTAACACTAACATAGTTATTGGTGGATTGTAGCTACTTTATGAGAGTCATTGTTCAAAAATATAAAATAATATGTAAAATGTTAATTCAGCCCTTTTTATTTCATAGAATTTTGTAGCATTTTTGCAACATGGTTAACAAAGTAGTCAAGGCATTTTTGGAGGACTGTTACTTATTGATTGCACAGGTGTTTTGGATAAAGATGATCTACAGGTAGAGCTGAAAAATCTGGCCTGAAAACCTGTAGGGTTGTGAAGTTGTTGGATGGAAGACAACTCTAGTTTAGAAAAAGTCATAAAAATCAAAGTATACTTCATTCTTGATGTTTATTTGTGTTATCCATTTTGAATGAAGTCATGAATGCTTGGGTGGATTTGAAGTGTTTGAATAGTTTATTAAACACTGTCCTCTTTTTTCTTTGTTCCTGAATATATAGTAGCATATTAAGATTCACCCATAATCTCAGTGTTTGGGGCATTTCTAGCCATACAGATACTATTAATCTTAAATGCAGAGATTGATTCCCTCTTTGATCATTAAATTAACTATGTTTTTATAGTGATGTAATATTTTATCTTTCTACATGCTAGTTTGATATATGTTTTGAATACATTTCAGTATTCAAAATCAAGCATCAAAATCTTTCCATATTAATAATAACACTTTTCATAAATTGTTCCCGAGGACAACTTTGATTTTTTTAAAAAAACAACAACGCCCAATAACGTGTAGCTTGTCTCCTAAGAGAAAGGTGATGTGAGTTGAGTATTGGGACTGAAGAATTCTCAAGAAAAGCAAATCATTGCCGGAAAACAGAGAGACTACATGGAGTGGTTTACTGCCTTCTGAATCAATGATGACTCAGATGTTCTAGCTGTGTTTGCTGCAGCCTTAGTGTGCTAATATTGAACCATCTGGTTCTTAAATTCTAAGAACTAAGATATTAACCATTTACAGATTATTTTTATTCTTTTATGATAATAGACTTGTCAGTAGCAAAGTTATTTAATTCCTTGTCACTTGTTATCCCCCCTCCCCCCCCAATTTTCTGAGATGATTTTCGTAGTTTCAGGATCTTCATTTTACAGGCATTCTGGTGTTCGGAAAGTATGAATATTTACAGAATTTCAAATGGATATTTGAATATCCATTACCGGTGTTAGATTTTAAAATAAATATTATGTTAGCTTGATGGGGACTTCCACTATGCGTGTGTAAAACCATACGCTCAGGTTGAACATGGTAATTCAACCTGAATGGCCATTAAATGTTAGTTATCAATACATGGTATACTAAATTTATCATGCTCAGGAATACCATGTATTGTGGCCAAAAGAAAAGTTTGAATGCTTTAGGGTTATAGCTATAACAAGACCCATTTTGGAATTGGACTCCTTCTGAGGCACCTCAAATCACATTTATTCCTGAAAACCACCAAATTGTCCCATGAAGGGGAGGTTTGTCATGGACTGGAGAAGAAAAGGAGTGTTCCAGAGTTCTCCAGAATGTTCTATTTCTGAATTAGTGAATTTTGTCCATTCCTATGATATATTTGTTATTATTTAATATAATTTATCTTATCGCTTTAGTCCACTAGGATTCAGGTAAAGTACAATATCCAAATTATTATTATTTTTTAAATTAAGTAGTATATGATATAGTGTGAAATAACACATTTTAATAATAAATATTTTCTGGCCCTGGAGACTCCCCAGTGATCAGTACCCAAAGGTGTTCCAAAAGAGTCACATTTTTTTTCACGCTTTCTCCAAAAGAGGGAAGAGAATACTTGCCATTGGACCCAGTCCTGTTGCATATTGTAGTAGAAGAGAACCTTCAGCAAACACTCCCTGATCATCTGGATTCAGCAAGGGGAATCTGTGTGGGAAAGATGGTCTCTTAGGTACCTGGGCCCTGAATCACATAGGGCCGTGATGGTGAATCTATGGCATGTGTCATAGCTCACAGCTGGTTGTCGGGTCTCTGCCGTGCATGCATGGGGGGTGGGGCACGTGTGGGGGGTGGGGCACATGCAGGGGGCCTCATGCACATGCGCGTGGTGTGTGTGCAGGAGGCACATGCATGCGCAGGGGCAGGGAGCATGCAGGGGGCATGTGCATGTGCAGGGGCACACACGGGGCAGGGGGCATGCACGGTGGCCATGCGCACATTGCATTTGGGGAGTTCGGGCGCACTTTGTGCACTTGGTCCAGAAACGGTTAGCCGTCACTGACATAGGGCATTATAAGTCCTGACCAGGCTGTTAAATTCTACTCTAAAATAGGTAACCAATGCAACCCCCACAGTGACGGTGCCAAGACTATCCAGTAATCATATAGGATGCTTCATTTTGGATCAGCTACAGTTTCCAGATATTCTTCCAGGGCAGCTTTATATAGAAGAAACAATGACAAAGGCATGAATAATTGTCCTTGGTTCATGCTGTGCTATGTTGGACTGCAACTAATACAGTGGCTGAAATTGAGCAAAGACTCTCAAATTGAGCCATAACTTCTACCTCATCCTCCATTAAAGGACCATGTTGCTCCTACCCCACATCTTCTGACTTCTGAGCTTCAGCCACCCTCCTGGTTTTCTAAAAGGAATGCTAGCCTGGCAGCTCTACATCTTTACTGTAGAAGGCCAAACAAGCTGGGTGTGGCTGAAACAGACTAGGGATTGGTCAGTTTTTCCTCTTTCTTCCCAGTGAGCTGTGTAAAGGGCAAGGTTTTAAGATCCTTGAGTTTTAAAAAATGTTTTTCTCTTTTGTTGTAGAAGGGGGATGAAGGGAATGTTATTGTTGCAAAAGCTTCAGTAGCTTAGAAAGGAGCAGTCATTATTATCATTTCTTGACAGTGTTCTTGACTGGACAGAAATGAAGATGATTGGGGTTATTTGTCCTGTTGATGTGAAGTTCAAGTACTTGTAAGAGTATAATAGTCAACTTACCTTCCTAGTGCTATATTTTTTTGTCTAAGTATTAGAAAGTATACTAGCGCTCCCCCCCTCCCAGGGAATAAGCAGTTTTCAAATGGGATGGCATAGTGTTGTGTGGCTCTATTATAATGTATTTTGATACTTGTCCAAATGTCAGTGCTTGGCCTCACTTATTTTATTACCTGAAATTTGCTAAAGTTAGCTATTCCCAAATATTTCTCAGTTGTCTATAATTGGGTTCTCTCCGTTCATGGTCCTTGATTCCTAGAAATAGTAATGAACCGTTTGAATACCCATCTCTCTCTTAAATTGCTCAAATACCCATCTCTCTCTTAAATTTCTAATGTGGAGAAGCTGCTTTGGAGATTTCAGAATTAAATGTATTAACACTGGTTAAGGTGTGATATATTAACTTTGATTAAATAAGTATGAGACATGCGAAATAGATATATTGCACCTTGACAGTTAGCTTTGTACAGCAGCAGACAGTGTGTTCTTCCTTGTAAAGCATTGATATAGAGCTGATCTGCTGGGCTGGCAGCTCCCCAACCCTGAAATAAAAGGGATTGTGCTCAGAAACCATTTTGGTCAGTCAAAGGTAAATAGTGAAGTTGCTCCATGATTCATATAAGGGGACCCTTTGTGGTTTTACTTCAAGCTGGTGCTCTGCTTCTTTGATGTTCCACATATCTCTGTCTGGTATATTAGTTTAATGGTAAAGGTAAAGGTAAAGGTTCCCCTCGCACATAAGTCCTAGTCATTCCTGACTCTAGAGGGCAGTGCTTATCTCCGTTTCAAAATCGAAGAGCCAGCGCTATCCGAAGACGTCTCTGTGGTCATGTGGCCGGCATGACTAAATGCCAAAGGCGCAGAGGATACTGTTACCTTCCTACCACTATTTTTCTACTTGCATTTTTTACGAGCTTTCGAACTGCTAGGTTGGCAGAAGCTGGGACAAGTAACAGGAGCTCACCCCGTTACGCGGCACTAGGGATTCTTAGCCACTGAGCTACCGCGTCCCTCCCAGTTTAATGGAAGGGTATTACAAATTTTACTTGGACTCCCAAGGGGGTAGCAAGTAGGATACAAGATGTATTGATATCTACAAATATATACAACACATTTGAGCTATAGAATATTCTCTTCTATAGGAATTTGGTATAGTCAGGATTAAGCAGCCATTTGATGCTGCACTTTAATCTTTTGGCTTTCCAGGGTCTATGGAACCATAATTTCATTGGAATGGGCAAGGTCAAATATTTGTGGGAGAGGAGGAGAGGAGAGGATGTTTGTTAAAGGAAACTTAAAAAGACAAAATGGATCTTGGAACTTTGGAAAAATGTTGCTATTTAACTATCAAGATGGAAAACTGGCCCAATTTCTAGTATGCCCCTTGAAGTTAACCACCACCCATTTAGACAAACAACCACAAATAACAACCTTGCTGCCTCCGGGGTGGGGGGGTGGTCGGGCTTCGGAAACTGTAAAAGAGCTTAGTGTAATGGAAGAAACTTATTGAACCTCAATAAAAGTTCAATCTGATTTTGTTCTTAGGCAAGAAGTGAAGTCAACTTTTGAATGGCATGCTAGGACTGTACAATACTACAGAAAGTAGGTCAGGGCAGTATAAAGAAGTGGATGGGACCAAGAAAAAAAAAACAGACCAATTTCAAAGTATTTATTAATTTATTAAATATATTGGATATATTAGCACCTTGTGTATTTCATAATTTTTCCTTTTGTTGCAAAAGTCTCTGCAAATGACACTTAAGATTTTGGCAGCCTTGCATGGCGGTGAAATTCAGGTAATAGATTTGGTGGTGAAGAGGGATAAATAAGAGGTGTGAATAAGCAGCTATGGATACTGTATATGCACAGTCAAATAATATGGACAGTGTTCTGCTATGCCTGTCTGGTCATGCATGAGGAAGGGTTGATTGACTCCAATATCAAAACAGCAGGTGACTAAATCTATTCTCTTTGAGATAAGTAAAATTCAAGAGAAGGAACGATTAAAAAAACAAAACAAAAAAACTGTACTAATGCCAAGGAGGATCAACAGAAGAGAGTAAACAGGGTGTCAATTTCTTATTAAGAAAATAAAAAGTCAGCTGTTTTAAGAGCTTGTTATGAATTGCTTTTTCTATAAATCTACTCTTCCATGTAACCCAAACACCTTTAGTAAGGCTGTAATTATCTACAGTTGCCTAGGCTTCCAAATGTAATAAAACACATCTCTATGCGTAGCCAAAATATATGATATTAATTTTAAGAAACCTGATCTACAGCTAAGTGGTTGATAAGAATTCAGGCTAGGGTCAGGGTTAGAAAAAGACTCCACAATGTAGCAAGAAGTGAGGAAACCAGAAAGCAATGTTTATTGTCAGGAAGTACTTAAAATCTTTCAGAAGTAATTTGGAAGTTGCCTTTTCCCAGCTGAAGTAGCTACTTCATTGCATTTTAATCTGGATGCCGGTCTTGATTCCCCAAGGTTCGCGTCCTTCGGAAGGGCGATGGCGAATCAATCCCAGTGCCTGGATGATGCCCCTTTGCGGAGTTTACGTGGCTAGGAGCCCATTCCCCTGCCGGCCTATAACAAGGCGCAGCACCTGGTGCTGGAGGAGCTTATAGCCAAAGGCCAGCTGGCTTTCCAGGCTTTCTTACGCCGGGAAAAAATGAGCTCTTTCCTTTCTGATCCCGGGATCCAGGCTATTTTGTGCACCGCCGTGCAGCCACTCAGGACAAACAAAAGTGTCTCGGCTACAGACCAAGCCCTGAACACCTCCTTGGATTGTTCCTCGTTCACATACTTCCCGGTGCAGTCCAACGTTGAGCCGCCTATCCTAGAACTGGGCTGGCCGGCTTTTGTTACCGGCTCTTTCCGAGGACTGACCCGCGTGGAAACTTATTTCCAGCCCTGCTTTGGAGAGGTCCCCTATGCTTGCAAAGAGGCGGTGCGCAAGCAGATCTGGTCAGCTAGAGAAGTGAGTGAAGGGATCGAGACAGGTGGTCTGCATGAGCAGGGGGTTGGACTAGATGACCTCCAAGGTCCCTTCCAACTCTGTTACTGTTCCTTACAATGTGACTTGCAAAATGACGGAATAACAACTAAAAAAATAACATAGGCATCAGGCAAGCATAGTGACTTCTAGTTTTTGAAGCAGAATGATGAAATGAGAATTAGGAATAAAATCAACCGTATGCTAGCAAGTATATTATTTAAACTATTGACAATTATTTAAAGAGAAGTATCTGAGAGTCCCTGTTGGGGATGTGGAAGACTGGGAAAATGGAAATATTCAGAATTCTCCAATTCCTCCTAAATTTTCCATTTCTGTTTTCTAAGGGAGCTTCGTGTAGCAGATCCTTATTCTTGTACAAATCTATTAGGCTTCAGGGGGTGTAATACTGGAAGGAATTTGGACAAAAAAAATTGGAAGAAAGTTTGGAAATGATACTTGAAGCTTAAGTTCTGTACTTCAGTCCAAGAAACGTCAGACAAGCAAGATTGTAAAATCATAGAATTTAACCTCCTGCAGAACCTCCTTCATTGCAGAAATCCATCATTACAATATCCCTGCCAGATGGCCATCCTTCCTCTGTTTAGACATCTGAAAAATGAGATTCTATGACCCTCCCATAGTTGTCTGACTATACTTTCTATTTGGAAAAAAAAAAAATCCTGATGCTCAACCAAAATCTCCTTTTGTGAAATTATGCATGTTGTTTCTAGTCCCACCTTCTCTAACAACTCAAAACAATTCTATCCAATATGGCTGCCTTTCAGATGCTTGTAGACTGCTATCATACTTCCCTTTTCTTCAAATTAAAATATGCAGAGCCTTCAACCATTCCTCTTTTTTTTTCTACACTCCTTATCTTTTTGATTGATATCGTTTGACATGTTCCTTTTTCTCAATAGCCTTCTCAAATCATTGGACCCAGAACTGGATGCAATATTGTGTGTGGCCTATCTACTAAGTGTGGGCTATCCAACAGAGAATAGAGAGCAATTGAGAATCCTCTTCATCTAGGAGAGGGATGGAAGGATGTGTATGAAAATTGGGTGCCAAGAGGAACACATCATGAGATGCAAGAGAACAAAGGGGAAAACACAGAGAGAAAAATGTTCAAAAAGGATAATAGGAAATGGACAGGAAGGAAGAAGTGCAGAATTTATGTTGATTTGAAAATCAGCGAGATCTTTGACCTCAGGCCCAGTAGTGGGTTCCACTTAGCTTTGCTACGGTTCAGAACTGGGAGCGTGCGCATGTCACTTCTGCACATGCACAGAATGTTCCGAGATATGCACAGAGCATCTGTGATGACTTCCGGGTGGGTGGGCGGAGCCTCCCACCACCGCCACTACCGGTTCACCCAAACTGGGGTGAACCAGTAGAAACCCACCACTGCTCAGGCCTGTAATCTACTCTAAATGTTCTACTCTATTTGCAGAGTAAGATATAGCAATAGGCACCTAGAAGAATGTTTTGAACATTATATGCTGTGGAAGAACTTTTATAGAGGCTTTTACAGTAAGACTCACCTGCTCAGCATTTTTCATAGCTTACTCTTTTATTACGCATTATATTTTTTTCCTGGCAACTTCTTGGTAACTTTGTAGGTCAAGGTCTTTGTTATTCAAAACTGGGTTCTTTCCAAAGTATGTTGAAATCTTAATCACCAAAGGAAAAAAACCTTTTGTGATATTTTTTTAAAATTGAACTTTAGTTGGAAGTTTAAAATAGTTTGCTGCCTTCTATATTCTATCTTTATTTTTCACTTATTACGGAATTCTGAGTAGGAGTGATTTCTGAATAAATCACCACTCATAATCTCCCTTCCATCATTATGACTTTGAAATGTGCTGGATTTCACCTCCCAGAATTTCCATCTGGATTGACCAACAATCTGACTAGGAGTGTCCGAGTGAGTCCAGAAAACCTACCTACAGTATGTAGGGTTTGCTGTGACATCACAAACCTGATTCTGCTGTTATAGTTACCAAATAGCATTGGAACACTGCATAAATATTGTAGAAGTGACTTCCAAGTCTGAGTTTAGTTAGAAGATACAGGAATAATGCTATTGTTGCTGTTTTTACAGAGATTTACAGTAAGAGAGCATTTTTGCTTTTAAAGTACTAGAGAAGATAACACTGATCAAGTGAAACGGGCTGAGTAACATGTAAGCTCTTGTAATATACTTTGCCGAACTGAAAGATCTAAGTTCTCCATGCTGTAGTAATTGTTATGTAGTATTGTTTGTAACTGCAATGTTTGCTAGACTTAGGCCCAAAGACATTCTGATTAACTGTTTATAAAGTTCCTACATATTGTGATTATTGAACTAGGATTATTGAACTGGGATTTAATCTTTGATCTTTCTGTTGTTATCTCCATTTTATTGGAGATATTTCTCAGTAAGTCTGCAGAGGAAGTAAAACTGAGTGAAATTGAGAATTGAGTTTACTCTGTGCATATAAAAGTGAGGAAGAGAGAAAAACGTTTTCCCCCTACAATTTATAGTATTTAACAAATCATATGTATGTTATAAATGTTCTAACAAACATTTAAGCTATATGTGGTGTGACACCCGATTATCAGAATTCACATTTCATTTCTTTTTCTGAACTATTTCACTTGTATTTTACACTATTTTTATTCATTATTTGCAGAAGACTGCATATTCTTGTTTTTAGCTTTTCTGTTCACATTCCCTGCCTCTTTAAACTTTTTTTTAAAAAATTGATTTATATGCCGCCCTTCTCCGGAGACTCAGGGCGGCTTACAATGCGTTAAGCAATAGCCTTCATACTTTTGTATATTTATACAAAGTCAGCTTATTGCCTCCACAAACTGGGCCTTTATTTAACCTACCTTAGAAAGGATGGAAGGCTGAGTCAACCTTGAGCCTGGTAAGATTCGAACCTGCAGTAATTGCAGGCAGCTGTGTTAATAACAGGGTGCTTTAAACCACTGTGCTACCAAGGCTCTTTTTCTTTAATGTATTTTATTAGACTATATATACAGAATAATATGTTAATACTTACATGTTCAGAATAATTACAAAAATATATAATTATTGTTGAATATCTGGATAATCTAATTTTTTTAAAGAGTTGCATCAAATTTTACAGTTGCTGGAGAAACAGCTGTTTGATGTGCATGCATTGTGTGAGGGAATACTGCAAGTATATAAATCTTTAAATATAATAGTCACATTTATTTATTTATATCCTACCTATATTATTTTTATAAATAACTTAAAGCACCGAATATATCCTTTTCCTATTTTGCCCACAACAACCATCCTGTGAGGTGAGTTGGGGCTGAGAGAGAGTGACTGGCCTAAAATCACTCAAGTTTAGGAGATCAGGAGATTCTCAATCATCCAGGTCAGGGGTCCCCAGCCTATGGGCTGCTGTCTATTACCGGGCCATGGCCTATTCACAACCAGGCTCTGTGAGTGCTGGGCTGGCGCACATACGCATGCATGCAGCTTCATTTGCGTGAGCGACAGGTGCCAGCGCAGAGCACCATTTGCGCACATGCACACCTGCCCCTCACACAAAACCATCCCCTCTTCTCCCCCTTCCCCTGCACCAGGCCACCAATCTGGAAAGGATGGGGAACGTTGATCCAAGTCATAGATTTTTTGATGACCTGGATCCCAAATCCCAAATAAATAAATAAAAAATTGGAAAAAATTTTTTTGGGAAAAAGGTGCTTGAGACATTAGGACAACCATGACCTAGATGATTGAAAATCTCCATAGGCATTGTTAGGCAAGGTGGGTATTTAATATGTGTTGTGCTAAATTTTATGACTTTTTTTTTACCATGGGTGCTCAGCGAATCATTGCAGTTGTTACATGAGTCATGCAATCCTTCAGTGAACCTGGATTCCTCTGTTGACTTTGCTTGTTGGAAGGTTGCAAATGTTGATGAACCTGGGCAGTGGTAGGATTCCATTTTTTTTACTACTGGTTCTGTGGGTGTGGCTTGGTGGGCATGGCAGGGGAAAGATATTGCAAAATCCCCATTCCCTCCCCACCCCACTAGCCTGCTTTCCAGCTCCGTTCTCCTATGCAGGGCAACAAAAGAAGACCCAGCTGATCCGCTGGGAGGCTGGGAGGCCACGAATAGATCGATTGGGTGCCCTAGCCTTACAGGTTAGGCCTCCCTGCAGCCCTCTGGGAGCCAAAAAGGGGCGCTTGGGGACTCCTGGAAGGGGTGGGGCGGGACCAACCAGAGGTGGTACTTGCCGATTCTCCAAACTACTCAAAATTTCCGCTACCTGTTCGCCAGAATCGGTACGAATTGGCTGAATATCACCTCTGAACTTGGGCCACTGCAACCACTGTAAATGCACGCTGGTTGCCAAATGCCCTAATTTTGATCAGGTGATCACAAGGGTGCTGCAATGGTCACAATGAAGGACTGGTTATAAGTAACTCTTTTCAATCCTGTTGTAATTTCAAATAGCCATTAAATAAGTAGTTGTATGCAGGGGTGGGTTCTAATTTTTTTTACTACCGGTTCTGTGGGCGTGGCTTATTTTGTGGGTGTGGCTTGGAGGTCATGTGACTAGGTGGGCGTGGCTAGCTGGTCAGAGTCATTTCTGGAAGGTCCTTGCACTTACGACCAAGTCCTCGCACTTATGACCCGACTAATTTGTTTGCTTTTAACACTAATCAGCTGTAGGACGGCCCTTTGAAGCCCCGGGGCAAGAGTTTAAACTGTTTTTTTCCCTCTAGTAAGCAGCTGGGACTCAGGAGGCAGCAATAGATTGGGGGTGGGACCAAATAAAAGGTAAGAGGTAATTGTGGGTGGCGGGGTTGGAGGGGGGGAGAACCAGTTCGGTGATGTCATATTGTCACCGCTACCGGCTCGGCCAAACCGGACCGAACCGGGAGGAACCCACCACTGGTTGTAAGTTGAGGGCTACCTGTATTTTCATTGTTTGTAGGTGGGATCAGAATAGAGGACTGGTCCAGAAGAAATTTAGAGATTTATTTGTTTGTCTTGCTATCTACAGTTAAGCTTAGACTTGAATGATTAATTAGTGCTCTTCTACTGGTATGTAAGACAGGATGTAATAAGAACCTGCCCTAGGTCTAATACTTAAGGTTAACTGTATGGATTTTTCCAAGGAAAAAAAATCTACAATGACTGTTTTGCACATACTGCTCTTTCTAAGAATTAATCCTACAATTATGCACTTCAGTAGTTAGTCAGCAGCATTGTCTGGATATGTGCTGTTAATGACATCACTAAATAGCTATTGCAAAGTTTTGTTGTATGTGTTACTCAGGGTGAATTAAGAGTTCTTTAATTTTACAGTCTGTGCAAAATGTACAGTAAGTCCTGAGAGCAGGGTGATTTAATGTGACTGCAGTTTGTGCTTGATCACTGGAAGGGAGTTCCATGAAAAAGTATTGACCCCTTTCAGATTTTCCTGAGTGTTCGCATATCTTTGATACTGAATGTTATCAAAGCTTCCTGGCGGTTCTATTGATACATAAAGGGAGCTTGAGAAAAGAAACAGCACTAATATTTAGGGCTTGTTTCTTTTATTTCATAAAGAGTCATCCAAGATGTGATATAATAATGCAAAAAAAAAATATTAATATTTTTTGGTTGTACCATTTTTAACCATAATAAAGGTCATTACTTAATACGAAGAAATTGAAGTCAAAATATAAGCCCAATAAAACTGAAACTCTAGGAAAGCTAGAAATAGGTAATCCCATGACAAAAGAAAGAATAATGAATGAAAGATAATGAAAAGAATACATGAACCTGATCCCTGCCAACCAATGAAAATCAAAATACACATGCACAAATGTATGCGTACATCTATTTCTGTTCATGTTAATTTGTTTTATTTCACATATCTAAATACCCTGTTTCTCCCAAAATAAGACATCCCCTGATAATAAGCCCAATCGGGCTTTTGAGTGCATGGCAATAAGGCCAAGCGCTTATTTCAGGGTTCAAAAAAATATAAGACAGGGTCTTATTTTCGGGGAAACACGGTAGTTGGATTAATTTAATTTTCAAAAAGCTTCCACACCAAAGGAAGATAGCCCTTCCTCTCAAATCTGTCCTTTTTAAATGGAAGAACTCTATGAAATATATGATTCTGCTTCTTTTGTTTGCCAAGCAAAACCAGTTACCACTCAGAAAACTTCTTAAAAACCTTTAAAAAGAGACAGATTTTGAAGAAGAAAATGTTGTGGTTGGAGAATAAGAAATAACAATAAGAAATACAGATAGTCCTTGATGTATGACAACAATGGAACCTGGAAGTTAAATTGAAAGTCATGGTCATTGTAAGTAGAGGCATCACATGGCTACACTCGTTTTCATGACCATTTTAATGTCAGCCCTAAAGCAACTCACTAAGTCATTAAGTGAATCATGTAGTTGTTAAGCAAACCACATGGTCTTTAAGGAAGTCCAGCATACCCAAAGGGTGTTCTTTGCTATTTTCTGCTAAAAAACATAAACATTGCAAGTCACAGTCATGTAACTGTGAACACAACTGGTTGTAAACACAAGCCAGTTGCAAAGTGCCCAAAAGGTGATTCACATGATCATGAGGTGGGGGCTGGAGTCATAATTTCAAGGATGGGTTGTAAGTAGCTGGTGAGCTCCAAATCAAGTGCTGAGCTGTCACTCACAGATAACTATTTTGGGAAAAGTGAGTTTGTTTAAATGAAATGTGAAAGATTTGGTGTAAGGTGAATAATTATCTTGGGAGACGAGTCAGTTGAGCATTTGGCTGATTGCTTTTGTTCATAATCTGTAGTCACAG